TGAGTTCTAACTGCATCATTAGTCTTGAGTCATTATAGAGTTTTTCTATAATTATTAAACTCCATTGAAATATAATAAAGAAAATTGAGACACAGATGGCGTAAATGATTCGATAAAAGTCACACAGCCAATAATGAGCATTGAGATTACAATTTAGAATTTAGATGGCAATAATAATGCAAGATGCTAGCACAAAAGAGCTTCAGCTGTCTTCACATGACTGGGCGGTGGCTGAGCCAGTTTCAACGTAGGGCGGCACTCTCTTCCCAGGTGCTTAGCAGACTTTGTCTGGCAGTGAGGGGGCTTTTCCTGGCAAACTCTGGGTCCTGCATGGACGGAGGTCACTGGCTTTCACAGGGAGGCACATGGCCTCATCGCTTCTCTGGAGCAAAGCCAAAGGAGAAGAGCTTGGGTTTGCTTACTGGGATTCTGCCATGGAGAACTGCAGGAGAGGAAAGGAGAAAAACCGGCTAAGAAAGAGAAGGATAACTTAAAGCCTTCTTTTAAGGGGAAGCAATCAGGGCTCCTTCTTCTGGTGAAAAGCACGGTGGGTCAATCACAAGACTGAGCAAGTCTGGCTTACGCTAAGCAATAAAAGCAGACCCCTTGTGAGGGCTCGGAAGACTTTCACTGGAGCAGTGCTGGCCAACCATATATATAATTTTAAATATTTTAATAAGCGCATTAAAAACGTAAAAGAAGCAGGTGAAATTTTATTTCACTGACTATGTGCAACTGTTATCATGTCAACATGTGACACAAGCCACATTTCAGGTGCTCGGTAGCCACCTGTGGCCAGTGGCTGTCGTCTCGGACAGCGCATCTTCAGAGAACCACGTGAAAAAATTTTTAAAAAGAAAATTTCTGTGAAGAAAGAACACAAAGATTTTAAATAATTCATTATTTTACTGGTTTCAATGTATTTTAACCCAAACACAGACCGTTCCTAATTGTTAAAATCCAGAATAATATTTGAGACTATGAAAAGGCTTTCAAAGATTCAGCAGTAGAAGGGAAAATAGGGGTAATACCCATCAAGACTGATATAAGGAGTAAATGAGATAAAAATATATTTTATAAAATACAGCATTGTGTGAATATGCCTCTCTGACTAGCATTACTTCTTTATCTTATTAGGATATTGGTTCTTGGCTATATAAATACTTCAGATATTTGTAGATGATTCTTTCCCTCCAATATTACTGTGCTCTTTGCTTTTTAAAGCCATTATACATTAGGAAACACTGACCAGGAATACTGTTATAAAAACTGGTGGCTTTCTCTCCAAACATTCAAGGAATATATGGATCGGCACACATGGAATATTCAGAGAGTTTCCAAATGGAGCAGCAAATGGAGGGGGAGAGAGAAACACTGCTGATTTCTCAAGCTTTTCAGAAAAAAGAATCTCTTTTCTGGGAGATATAAGTACATGTAAATATATACGCGCGCGCGTGTGTGTGTGTGTGTGTGTGTGTGTGTGTGTGTGTTTCCTCCTTAATGTCTGAGATTTCTGAATTTCTCTGTAATTACATTTAGCAGGGAAAACATCCAGGCCTGTGACAAGCAGCTCCCGGCAACCTGACAGCCCTCAGAGCACAGTCACCCACCGATTACCACCCAGCCCTTCAATAAATACTATAGGCCACATGTGTGTGCACTTACAGAACTTCACAGGTTTCCATGGATACGGGAATTTTAGTGCTAAGGCACATTTACTATAGTTCTTCTTGTCACCAAGAGTCCTGTAAACACTTGTGTTTTAAGATTTTGTGCAGAAATTTAGCATTTTACAGAGAACCAAGTCAGAATTATCTGTTTCCAAATGCATTTTATAATTTCCCCTTAGGGCAAAGTCCCTAAACCATTTACATTTGTGGCCTCTTTTTAGTGATGTGCTTTTATTTATTGGACTAATAAAAGAAAATAAAGGTTTAACCATATTGCCAGTGTCACTTAAAAGTGACAGTTATTTGTGCTATGTAAATGTTACAATGAATAAATACAACAACTTGCTGGGAATTTAAAATGGAAAGAGGTAAATATGGTAGGCAGGACTAGGAATATTATGTATATATTTAGTCATTTCTCTTCCTGAATATGGTGAAATGTAAGTGTCATTTCTAAGGATACCCTTGTGTTGTATCTATCAACCAATCATAGTTTGAATTTATTCTGTCTTTTAAAAAAATATTTAGTAAATTTGTTCAAGTGACATTAGTTAATAAAATTATGTAGGTTTCAACTATACAATATTATAATACAGCATCCATATATTGCATTGTGTGAATTTATTCTTTCTTATATATATTATACTCTTTGTATTTTTAAAAGACCTTTTTACAAATCTGTGAAAATGGCAGGCTATTTTATTATTTTTCCCATTTCATACATGTCCCATGTCACAAAGCTAGCAAGTGGCATGGGATTAGAACCCAAGACTCCTGACTCACTGTTCATGGCTTCTCCATTGTCTTTTCCCTGTACAGAATGCAGGCAACTTCTTCTATAGTAGGCATACTCATTTCCTTCCTTCCTTGTCATGTACTGATAAGTCTCTGTGCCTCTGACCTGAGCTCCATTAAATCATCCTTTTCTCCATTTGTCGCCTTGACTGCCCCAGAGACTCAGCTCAACCTAACTTACCAGGCTTAGCAATTTCAAGTGCACATAGCCATTGGGAAGCAGCAGTCACAGCGATATCACATAGCCTGGATGCACACTACACGAGGACTCTGTAGGGAAACCGGTTTCTAGTTCCAATCATATTGATCAAGAATGTACAAGGCTGATTGAATGGAAGCCTCGAGCAGTTTGTACAAATATCCAGTCTGAGCAGATGTGTTGCCTGGATAGTTCAGTCAAGAAAAAAGCTTTTATTTTAACAGCATAGATATTGGGAGGGTGGGGTTGGAACTATTTGAACGATTGTCCCAAATCTCACTTCTTATGCTCATGCAGCCAACAACCTCTGAATTACCTCAGCAAATATCTCTGTTAAAGCCACCAGATATTTACAAGATCATTTTATTTTATTTTATTTTTGCACTTGTCTCATTCACCTTGTAGGTGTAGGTCTTTTGTTTTCATGTTTTTTTTTTAATATTGTTTTTTGTCTAAAAGGAAGACTTTGCTTTTACTGTCTGATAAAAGAGGGATTTGGGGGAGAGGAGCTCTTGACTAAGAGGTCTGCTCTGGGTCCTACCCCATAGACCCTGAAGTGAGGAGCCCCATGGCTCAGGACTCAGAGCAACTGCCAGGACCTGAATATGAGTTTCTTGTGAAGATTAAATGAAATAAAGGATATGAAAATACTTTGCTAATTGTAAAATGAGCATCCTAAAATAGGGTGTTTGTTTGTTTGTGTTTTTTGGGTTTTTTTGTGGGCTCTCTAACATTACACAATGCCAACTGGTTTTTGTCTCCAGGTGCTAAAAAGGCAAATAATGACTTGTTACCTCACAGTGCTTTTACTGGAATGTGGACTTTATTTATTCAACAACAAACGTGACTCAATCATCTCTTTTGTGGTTATTTCAATGTTTCAACCTATCACCCCAACTAGGCAGAGTGCCACCCAGGTGGTGCTTCCTTTAGTGTAAGAGCCAAAAGAGCAGAAACTGGTTGTTGGGTTGTAACCTAACATCTCCTCTCATCACATATCATGTGTATTCCTTGAGATCCCAGAATTACAACTCTAGATTCAGACAAATTTGGCTATTCCTGCATGAGACTAATTCCTCATTCTTTCTGAATGGAAATGTTAGTTCTGTGCTCTTCATCCATAGAGCACCTATGAGTGATTAACTACCTCTCCAATCTATAGAAATGGGGAAGCTCAGAGCTCTCCTGAACTACGAAGCTTTGTCTATTTCTCCTACAAATTCCATTCAGGCATCAAACTGGAGTCATTCTTGATCAAATGCATTTTATCTATACCTGGCAGAGATCTAGGAGTAAAAACACAAGATTTATTTCATTTTAATTCTACTCTGATGCATTTAGTCACAAATACCCCAAAATGAAAAGACAATTTATCATTTTGCCCTGACTGAGCTACCCTTCTCGGTTGACATTCATGAATCCATAATATAGGGAGGAGACTGGATGATTAAGTGCCCGATTAGAGAAAAACAGATTAACCTGGCAAACATAATAAATTTAGCTCATAAGCAGGATGGCTTTATAAGTGCTCACAGTAACTCTCCTGTATAAAATCATGAACCACTTCCTTCAGTGATGACTACACTGAAACGGTTGGGGTACACAAAGCAAATGCATGTTTCTGGCTTTCTCTTTGAGACATTAAAAGGGTATTGAAAAGCATATCCGATTCAGTCTAGAACCAAAACTGTATTAAACAGGGAACGTGTAAGAAAGATAGAAACTCATATAAAGCAAAGCTACAACCTCTCAAGTGTTCCAGTTTCCACTTTGCCAATAACTGTATCTAGATCCCACATGCTTTCTATGTCTTTCTAAAGGTGCCAAAAGCCATGCAGATACACCCTTAACCTTCATAACAGAACCTGATTCCTTTATAAAAGCTGCTGCCATTTTTAGGTAGTTCTCTCTCATTGCAACAAAACACATAAAATTAGCAAGCTCTTTTCAGCCTTTGAATTAGAACGGGGGAAAGAATCTTTCCTTTTAGCTGAGATTCCATTTCCATCAGAGTAAAAATCTAGGTTGTGACTTATTTGCAGAGAAGCCCTGTGCAGTGCTCTAAAAAGCGCTCTTAGCCAGCAGTCCGCCAGGCGTCCTTACTTAGCTGCTGAGTGTTTCTGGCCTCCCTTTCTGAGCACTGAGGAAAAGGATACTCTGCATGCCCAGCTTTATTTTTAAACTCATGGCCCTATTCCTGGAGGCCTCTGCTGCCCTACCTGGCCTGAGAGACAGTCAGGCCCTGCTCTGTCACATGCACCCAAGTCACACTGAATAGGGGACTTGCTCTGCTTGTCTATCCAGAAGCCGGCGCTGTTAGGGACAGGGCAGGGAGGTGGGAAGGGGAAGGAGCTGCCTGGGAGTCTTGTCTCTGATGAAGGCCCCATCCAGAGCCAGGTAAATGTCCCCCTGGGGAAACTGGTACCTGGAGGCCTGGGGGGACAGGGGCCTGCACATCTTTCCTTTCTGCTTTCTCCTTTCTCCCCTCATCCCAATCTGAAGTTGATTTTAAGTTGGATGGTGGTGACAGGAAGGGGTCCAAAGGGAGCAGGGTCCCTGTGTGTCCTCACAGCCTGTGGGTGCTGGATCAGGCTGACAAGCACATCGCTGGGAGGGTTGGTTTTTTTGTTTGTTTTTTTTAGGGAGGGTTTTTTAAGGCCAGTCCTTCCTCCCACCTTTGCTGAGTCAAAGGCTGCAATGTTTTCTTTGGGCGCAGGGACCGGGATTTTTTCAGGTTTTTTTCCACAGGCATGAAGGAGTTTGTGGAGAGCTAGAAGGGGCGTACTTCTAGTGGGTGTAGGGTGCATTCATGGTGCACACGAGCATTTGTGGGCTCAAGAAGACGAGTTAACTTTATAACCTCAGCTATCATAGTCACCGGATTGTCCCAGTGGCTGGGAGGGGTGTCATTGGTTAGGTACCGCGCCAGGGCTGCATTTTAACCCCTGGGTTGGTGGCTATCTGTGCATGCGGAGGGAGGTGTGGCATCAGTGCTCCTGGGATGAGGAGGGCGCGGCAAGAGTGTGGGGTGGCGGGGTGGCTGGCTGTGAGGGGGGCCATTGACCCAAGGAAGGGAGTCCTCTGCTGTGTCCCTGGCACCTCGGGGTCTCCACGCGGCGGGGGTG